ATAAGCTTTGTGGTTATTCTAAGTGATTCTCTGTTACACAAAAGGCATTCAGAGAGTCTGGCAGGTGAAATCTGATGAGAAGGGATGATTCAACACAGCGGTGAGCATTCTGCTAAAAATAAGAGAGACTGAATATCAGTGTAATGTGCTACCTTTGCTCCTTTTTTGGTTAGATGTAAGGTATCCATTTTTTTTTTCAAATCAATTAGTTTTAACTTGCATTTTAAACAGAATTTCTACTTTTTTAACACTCTCCTTTCCCAGCATCCACCACCTCAACGTTTTATTTTATTTGTCTAAGATGCAGTGGTATTTCAGGTTGCATTATTAACCCTTGCTGATGACAGCTCCAGGTATGCTATGTCCAAATATTATCTCAGCCATTGAACAAAGGATGCGTCATTTGGAGCGCTATAATTTTCTTCATTGCAGTCAGACCCAACAACCAGATTCTACGTGTTTTCTCAGCTGGAGTCAGTTTTGAATCATCGTTTTAATAAAGTGCAGAGCAGGATTTAAAGGGAGAGTAACGGGAATGAACGAGCCCAGATTTCCCAGTGCAGAATGAGCAATAAGGGTCTGATGCGACGCCTATTTTTTTGGCTAATAATTAATATTAAATATGCTCTGTGACATGTTCACATGTTCATGGTGGTGATTAGGATTTTTAGAAGCCTTCTCATAATTATTCAAAAAATTTTCCCCCAACCAGGGGGAATGTCCTGAATGGATAAATCTTCCTCCCAAGCTTTCCTTCCCAAGGAGGACTTACAGGGTTATATTTTGTTGTGARGGTTTGTTATATGAGACAGATTTTCTGGGCTCATCTTGTAACCAGTTGGAAACTGGACAGTCTCTCAACTCTTCAGACCTTCTCCTGATGTAGAAAAACAAAGAGACCTTATCTGCATTATATATTGACACCAATTCCTGGAAGCTAAAAACAGAACTTGTTTCAGTTTTTGGAGCTGACTCGTAAAAAAAAAAAAGAACAGTCCGGTTAAAGGTTTGCGTCACAACGTGGATAAAAACAAGCGATTGGGTCTGGTTGCTCAGCTGCTGAGGCAGGTTGTGGCTGGGATTATCAACGCCACCTTTGTTGACACAGTTCTCAGTGTGGTTTTGATTCCAAAGGATCGTCACCATTCCTTTATTGGCTGTGTAGCTCTGACTAACGTGGAGGGTTGCAACCATTCTTTTATTAAATGCAGTGGTGGGAACTCACTGGTCAGAGCAGGCAGAAGTAGCTGGGCACAAATTCACAGATCAAACAATCCTAAAATCAACTCAAGACGTCTAGTGAAACAAAACTAAATCACCATGAGTAGAACTGGTGAAATTATTAAAAGCTTTGTTCTGCACTGCTCTTTAAGTTGACCTACGTTTATTATTAACAGTACACACCCTGTCCTGCAGGTAGTGTTGTGGATCTGCAGAGCGGACTCCCCTCACCCTGTCCACGAGATCCCGTCCTCTGTCCTGACTCACACATGGTAAGAGCAGATCCTCTCCAGTGCTTTATCTTAGATTCAAGAGGTTCGGATAGAAAGATGCAAACGCAGTCTGGGACAGTTATGTGTTTGTGTGTGTGTGTGTTACCTCCGCCAAGGGCGAGGTAATGTTTTCAGTTGCGTATGTCTGTCAGTCRGTCTGACTATCGTTCTGTCTGTGGACATTACTCAAAAACTTGTGGATGGATTGTCATGACATTTTTACCACTTGTGGGTACTGGACCAAGTAACACACCTTTAAATTTTGGTGATGTTCCGGATCGCGATGCGGATACAGGTTTTTTTTTTTCTTTTAACACTCTGAGATCGGCAAAGCTGTGATGCTTTCACAGGGCGTGGGTTTCAAAGTGTCCAGCAGGTGGCACTGTAGCATTGGTGGGCCCCTTTGTAACTCTATTACAGGATGGGAGAAATTGGTCTTGGCGGAGGTTTGCACTCTCCGAGTGCTTCTAGTTTATTTATTTATTTATTT